CATCTGGGGCCTTCCCTGAATGGATCTGTAGTATGGGAACACTTCACTTTCAGCTAGTACCAACATATCAAAATAACACAATAGGTTTGTCTTTTTCCCTCTTCTGTTATTTAGTTGTGGAAATCTTCCCATGAAGCCTTGAGTGTAAGTTGAGGGGAAGACATCCATGCAATAGAAGTAGGTGACAGGGTTCTGGGACATCTATTCATGCTATTTATTTTGTGCCCTCTGGACCTTGTCAGACTAGATCTTGAAAGTAGTACCTCCATCATATGACGGACTGTTGTGGTGCCCTCTTGACCTTATGACTTGGTAGATTTGATAATACCCACCTCATAATAGATAGCTCTGGTCATAGTCACTTGTATGTTTCATGGTCAGGTATTCATCCTTTACTAGAAGCCAGGGACACGGCAGAAACTTCTTTTCAAATATTCAAATATTTGAGATTATTCTTAGCTAAGAAGGCATGACCTTGCTCCAGAAACCTAAAGAGTCTGTACTATCTCTCGCCTATTGGGACTTTCCAGAGACTCTATCCCATATCCTTACTCACCACAGAAACTAGCATGATCAGATCTACTGGGTGACAGTGTCAATTGCACCATGGCCAAAACTACTGCAATATCCTCTCTTGCTCCTGGGAATGATCTCGGGGAGGGGAGTGGACCTATTAGACTTACTACGAGATGTTCGTAGCCAAGATTCCTTTGATCACTTGGTTTCCATGTGTCCCATTCAAACAGAGGGCCATAATAGCAATTCAGGTCCCTTATCATCAGCATCAACTCAGTCACTAAATTTACTGTATTCAGCAATCCCAAACATCTTAGTAGTTACCTTTCTTAAGGCTAGAGTTATTTTGGGTGTGAGTTAGGGGAGTATTTATCACTTATTCCTAGGGTAACATTTCTAGTTATTAAGGGACCCAGCTTCTCTTTCAGTCAACAGGCTCTGGGTTTGAAAACTGGATTAGATCTATGAAAAGGGTGACAAACCAAAATGGTCTAAGAGCTGAAAATAGCCTACTGCTCAACAGCTCTCAATTTTTTTTTCTGGTTTATAAGTCAAGGTGGCTAGCTACCCATATCATTCTTAGGTACACCCTGGACTATTAGGTAAAGTCATGGACATATGATGTTAATGCACTCTGACGGCCACTCCAGCCTTGCTGCTCATTACAGTAATTACATTCACATGGCTTCTGTTAATTAGTGTCTCTACAGGAATCTGATATTCTGGCAATTTATCATACCCATCAACACTAGACTTCCCAGTTCTATGGCAACACTGCCTACTCAGTCCTGGGCTACAGAGACTACCTATAGTTACCCAGGTCACAACTGAGTTTCTGAAGAATGATGGTGTTCTCCTCTACGGTCTCCCTTATTTCTATTCTCCTTGAGATAAACACAGTCAGATGGTAGGTTCTCTTGTCTCATATAACATTATACATTTATAGTCTAATGTCATAACATTATCAGCTCTCCAAGCCTTTGATCTTTCATCAATACTCCACCAAGGCAATTTTAGCATTTCTGCTTCATGTACGTATATAAGCCACCATTTTATCCAATTTCAAGAATTACCTTGGCAGCATATTAAGACAAATTTCAGGTGTCCTTGTCAAGATGTCAAGCACCAAGTTTAACATCCCATGTCAATAAACTTTTTCCCTTTCTAGCCACAGATACGGACTTTCCTAGAAACACATGTGCTCCCCTTATGTGTGCACAATACTGCTCACCACGTGTACTAATTATTTCCACCACCTTTTGGGAAGTGCTGCAATGTGAACTTCCTAGGCAGGACAGTGCAAGATTTTATCAGGATACTCAAAATGGTGTGTAATTTAAAACTAATGAATTGTTTCTTCCTGGAATTTTCCATTTAATATTTCTGGACCACAGTTGACAACAGATAACTGAAACCTCTGAAAGCAAAACTGCAGATAAGGGGTGGGGGGACCACTGTATTTCCCCCTGGACTGTGACTTACACTCTACTGGAGCTCTGAAGAGGCACAAGAAAACACCTAAGTAAATGCATGCACTGTGTCATCTATTTAGGTGGTGAGAAGAGAGGATCTGCATGATACTGTAGTGAACAATTCAGAACACAGCAAGGAAATGCATTTATACATATATTGAACAAAGGAATGATTATTCTTTCGTGGTCCTGAAGTTGAAAAGCAAATCTGAAATAGTGATTACAAACACCGCTCCCAAATACTAATTTTCTATAGGGTGCACTGTTTATATGGTAATAATGGACAAATTTTCCAAAACTCTGTGATTGAACTGCATGCTCCTTTCAGAAGAAAACGGTTATATAAGGTGCTTTTGCTTCCTTGGTATTGGAAGAAGGAAAATATTTCTTATCTAGATGAGAAAAACTTGAGAGGTTCTAAAGACACCGAAACAGATAAGAAGAGGATCTCTACTGGGTTTTAGAAAGTTTACAAACCACAACATTCAAATTCAGTATTTTTATTGTTATATCTAAAATATTTGTGCTTTACTTTTCCCATATTATAAACAATTTGCTTTATTTTTATTTTTAAATTTTTTTAATTTTTTATAAACATATAATATATTTTTATCCCCAGGGGTACAGGTCTGTGAATCGCCAGGTTTACACACTTCACAGCACTCACCATAGCACATACCCTCCCCAATGTCCATAACCCCACCCCCCAAACCCCCTCCCCCCATCAACCCTCAGTTTGTTTTGTGAGATTAAGAGTCACTTATGGTTTGTCTCCCTCCCAATCCCATCTTGTTTCATTTACTCTTCTCCTACCCCCTTAACCCCCCATGTTGCATCTCCTCTCCCTCATATCAGGGAGATCATATGATAGTTGTCTTTCTCTGATTGACTTATTTTGCTAAGCATGATACCCTCTAGTTCCATCCATGTCGTCGCAAATGGCAAGATTTCGTTTCTTTTGATGGCTGCATAGTATTCCATTGTGTATATATACCGCCTCTTCTTTATCCATTCGTCTGTTGATGGACATCTAGGTTCTTTCCATAGTTTGGCTATTGTAGACATTGCTGCTATAAACATTCGGGTGCACGTGCCCCTTCGGATCACTACGTTTGTATCTCTAGGGTAAATACCCAGCAGTGCAATTGCTGGGTCATAGGGTAGTTCTATTTTCAACATTTTGAGGAACCTCCATGCTGTTTTCCAGAGTGGTTGCACCAGCTTGCATTCCCACCAACAGTGTAGGAGGCTTCCCCTTTCTCCGCATCCTCGCCAGCATCTGTCATTTCCTAACTTGTTAATTTTAACCATTCTGACTGGTGTGAGGTGCTATCTCATTGTGGTTTTGATTTGTATTTCCCTGATGCCGAGTGACGTGGAGCACTTTTTCATGTGTCTGTTGGCCATCTGGATGTCTTCTTTGCAGAAATGTCTGTTCATGTCCTCTGCCCATTTCTTGATTGGATTATTTGTTCTTTGGGTGTTGAGTTTGCTAAGTTCTTTATAGATTTTGGATACTAGCCCTTTATCTGATATGTCGTTTGCAAATATCTTCTCCCATTCTGTCAGTTGTCTTTTGGTTTTGTTAACTGTTTCCTTTGCTGTGCAAAAGCTTTTGATCTTGATAAAATCCCAATAGTTCATTTTTGCCCTTGCTTCCCTTGCCTTTGGCGATGTTCCTAGGAAGATGTTGCTGCGGCTGAGGTCGAAGAGGTTGCTGCCTGTGTTCTCCTCAAGGATTTTGATGGATTCCTTCCTCACATTGAGGTCCTTCATCCATTTTGAGTCTATTTTCGTGTGTAGTGTAAGGAAATGGTCCAGTTTCATTTTTCTGCATGTGGCTGTCCAATTTTCCCAACACCATTTATTGAAGAGGCTGTCTTTGTTCCATTGGACATTCTTTCCTGCTTTGTCAAAGATTAGTTGACCGTAGAGTTGAGGGTCTATTTCTGGGCTCTCTATTCTGTTCCATTGATCTATGCGTCTGTTTTTGTGCCAGTACCATGCTGTCTTGATGATGACAGCTTTGTAATAGAGCTTGAAGTCCGGAATTGTGATGCCACCAACTTTGGCTTTCTTTTTCAATATTGCTTTGGCTATTCGAGGTCTTTTCTGGTTCCATATAAATTTTAGGATTATTTGTTCCATTTCTTTGAAAAAAATGGATGGTACTTTGATAGGAATTGCATTAAATGTGTAGATTGCTTTAGGTAGCATAGACATTTTCACAATATTTATTCTTCCAATCCAGGAGCATGGAACATTTTTCCATTTCTTTGTGTCTTCCTCAATTTCTTTCATGAGTACTTTATAGTTTTCTGTGTATAGATTCTTAGTCTCTTTGGTTAGGTTTATTCTTTGGTATCTTATAGTTTTGGGTGCAATTGTAAATGGGACTGACTCCTTAATTTCTCTTTCTTCTGTCTTGTTGTTGGTGTAGAGAAATGCAACTGATTTCTGTGCATTGATTTTATATCCTGACACTTTACTGAATTCCTGCACAAGTTCTAGCAGTTTTGGAGTGGAGTCTTTTGGGTTTTCCACATATAGTATCATATCATCTGCGAAGAGTGATAGTTTGACTTCTTCTTTGCCGATATGGATGCCTTTAATTTCCTTTTGTTGTCTGATTGCTGAGGCTAGGACTTCTAGTACTATGTTGAATAGCAGTGGTGATAATGGACATCCCTGCCGTGTTCCTGACCTTAGCGGAAAAGCTTTGTTTTTCTCCATTGAGAATGATATTTGTAGTGGGTTTTTCATAGATGGCTTTGATAATATTGAGGTATGTGCCCTCTATCCCTACACTTTGAAGAGTTTTGATCAGGAAGGGATGCTGTACTTTGTCAAATGCTTTTTCAGCATCTATGGAGAGTATCATATGGTTCTTGTTCTTTCTTTTATTAATGTGTTGTATCACATTGATTGATTTGCAGATGTTGAACCAACCTTGCAGCCCTGGAATAAATCCCACTTGGTCGTGGTGAATAATCCTTTTTTTTTTTTTTTTTATCCAGGTTCATAATTTATTGTACAAATTGAGTATCACATGATGAGCTGACAAAAGCTTCTTCAGGCATGGGAACTTAACAGATGAGGTACAAGTTAAAATCTGTTTATGTTGCTTTCACAGCTGGTGTTTTTTTAGACCTTAACTTGAAGTATAAGATCATCAAAGCAATCCCTCCATATGTGGCCAGTACACAATTCATTCTACCTGTGAGAGTATAAGAGTTGAAATATTTTTTGATACCAGTGAAATGGAATTGGGCATCAGCTTCTGGACCTGCCATGATTTCAATCTTGCAAAAGACCGTGAATAATCCTTTTAATGTACTGTTGAATCCTATTGGCTAGTATTTTGGTAAGAATTTTTGCATCTGTGTTCATCAAGGATATTGGTCTGTAGTTCTCTTTTTTGATGGGATCCTTGTCTGGTTTTGGGATCAAGGTGATGCGGGCCTCATAAAATGAGTTTGGAGGTTTTCCTTCCATTTCTATTTTTTGGAACAGTTTCAGGAGAATAGGAATAGAGCACATGGAACATTCTCCAGAATAGATCACATTCTGGGTCCTAAATCAGGTCTCAACCGGTATCAAAAGATTGGGATCATTCCCTGCATATTTTCAGACCACAATGCTCTGAAGCTAGAACTCAATCACAAGAGGAAATTTGGAAAGAACCCAAATACATGGAGACTAAACAGCATCCTTCTAAAGAATGAGTGGGTCAACCAGGAAATTAAAGAAGAGTTGAAAAAATTCATGGAAACAAATGATAATGAAAACACAACGGTTCAAAATCTGTGGGACACAACAAAGGCAGTCCTGAGAGGAAAATATATAGCGGTACAAGCCTTTCTCAAGAAACAAGAAAGGTCTCAGGTACACAACCTAACCCTACACCTAAAGGAGCTGGAGAAAGAACAAGAAAGAAACCCTAAACCCAGCAGGAGAAGAGAAATCATAAAGATCAGAGCAGAAATCAATGAAATAGAAACCAAAAAAACAATAGAACAAATCAACGAAACTAGGAGCTGGTTCTTTGCAAGAATTAATAAGATTGATAAACCCCTGGCCAGACTCATCAAAAAGAAAAGAGAAAGGACCCAAATAAATAAAATCATGAATGAAAGAGGAGAGATCACAACTAACACCAAAGAAATACAGACAATTATAAGAACATACTATGAGCAACTCTACGCCAGCAAATTTGACAATCTGGAAGAAATGGATGCATTCCTAGAGACATATAAACTACCACAACTGAACCAGGAAGAAATAGAAAGTCTGAACAGACCCATAACCAGTAAGGAGATGGAAACAGTCATCAAAAATCTCCAAACAAACAAAAGCCCAGGGCCAGACATCTTCCCAGGGAATTCTACCAAACATTTAAAGAAGAACTAACAATTTGCTTTATATCTGAACCTGTGATTCAGAATGATTGATTCACTTCTCAACTTAGGACACACTAAATATCTCTTTTTGTGGATAGTTTTATATATATTTATAAAATATCTTCAGGTATTTTACTAGTAAGTCACTGTAGATTATTTTAAATATGACTTTCCTATCCAAAACCAGCATATTATTGCCATATGAGTTAGTTGCTATTGTCAATTTTTAAATTATTTTCTGAATTCCTCTAGGATGCCTAATACTGATACCATGGTATGTAGTTATGAAGACACTTATGGCGTTTTGTAAGTCAGTATTTACCTTATATCAGCTCTCTTTTCAGATAGAAAACATGCTTAATAAATGAAAAAAATTGGTTAATAAGCCACATTTAGCTAGCACTAATGATTATTCAATGGAACAATATACAGAAGTTAACTCCATTTAATTTACAGCTTATTTTATAACAATATTTTATTAAGGTATAATTACACAAATCTTAAATATATAGCTTGGGGAAGGTTCACAAATGTATACAGCTATGCAACGGTCAGCCAGATCAAGATACAAAATATTACAACTACCCACCGCCCCAAATTCCCTCATGTCCCTTTTTCCTAGTTTGAATCCCCTGCCCTCAACCAGAGCAATCACTGTTCTGAGATGTACCACTGCAGCCTAGTTTGGCCTATTATTGGCCTTCATATAAATAATTACACAGAATGTTGTATCTGGTTCATTTTGCTCAACGTTATGTTTTCGAGACTCATGTAGGTTATGGCATGTACCAGTAGTCCATTTGTTTTCATAAGTAGTGTTCCACTGTCTAACTATATTGCAGTTTGTCTATCCATTCTCCTGTGGATAGAAACTTGGTTGTTTATAGTTTTGTGCCATGAATAAAACTGCCATAAACTTTCGTTTCTCTTGAGTGTATATCTAAGAATGAAACTGCTGAAACATAGAGTAGGTGTGTGTGTAAGAAATTTTCAGTTTTCCAAAGTGGCTGTACCATATATTTCATTCCTATCCATATGGTATGAAAGTTCTAGGTACCCTACATTCCCATTATTGCTTGATATTATCAATCTTTTTCAGTTTTAACCATTTAACCAATGTGTATGTTATGTAATTTTAGTCAGTTAGTGGTATCTTGTTGTGGCTTTAATTTGCATTTCCTTGAAAATAAGTGATGTTGACTTTCTATATACTTATTGGCCTTTTGTATATTTTTTTTGCAAAGTGTCCCTAACTGGCTTCTCCTTATATTACTGGTTTATATTCTCCATATATTCTGGATAAATATTCTTTGTCCGATATGGATATTTTGAACACTTTATTCCAATCTGTGACTTGTTTTTTCATTTTCTTAATGGAAGCTTTTGATCAACAGAAAGTTTTGATTTTGATGAAGTCTAATCTTTTTCTCTTTGTTAGTGCCTTTCATGTCCTATTTGGAAAAAAAAAATGTTTCTCTACCCTGATTATAAAGATTTTCTCCTAGAACTTTTTCACTTCGTCAGTTACATTAATTTTTCTGTAGGCTATTAAGTAGAGGTCAAGGTTTCATTTTTGTTTTCACGATTTTTACAGTTATTCAATACCATTTGTTGAAAAGATTATCATTTTCCTTTTTAAATACATTGGCACCTTTGTCAAAAATCAAAAGAACTGCATATAGTTCTCTTTCTGGTTTCTCTATTCCGTTACATTGATGTATTTGTCTAAATCTATGCCAAGGTTACACCGTCTTTATTATTGAAGCTTAGTAGTAAGTTTGGAAGTCAGATTGTATAAGTCCTCCAACTTTGTTCTTTTTCAAAATTGTTTTGGCTATTTTGAGGTCCCCTGCCTTTCCATATAAAATTGGAGTCAGTTTGTCAATTTATACTCCCCAAAAAGCCGCCTGTGATTTTTAACTGGGATTGTATTGAATCTATAGATCAATTTGGAATAGCAAATTAGGCAGCTTATTTTCTCCTATGTAAAGAAATCCAGATATGGTAGGCACTCCAGATATGATACATTACTCTATTGTACTGTTTAGAACATAGGCCCTTTGCCTTACTGCTCAGGGGAACCTGGACTGTCTCCTCATTGATACAATATAGCTAGTGTGTTACCTCAGGTTTGAATTATGCAATGCTGGAAAAAGTAAGGGGAGGGCAAAGGACAAAAGGTAAAACATGTATGGCAGCTGAATCTTCCATCTTTAAAACATCTTTTCTTGAAGTTCCACCTAACACTGCATACTCACATCTCATTAACCTGAACTGTTTTATCATATCATTTCTATCTACAAAGGAATCTGGAAAAATGTTTTTGTGCAGTGACCCTAAAAATTCAGGTTCTGTTAGTAAAAAACAAGAGGATAAATTATCTTGTTGAGTAGACAACTAGGTATTCTGTACAAGTAATAAAAGTTCTTTTAAAAAAAGTTCTCCTGAAAGACTGCTAATCTCTGAGTTAAGAATGCTAGTGAAGGACCAGGTTTGGTGGAGAAATTCATAGATGATATACTAGATGGCTTTAAACACTGAACTATATCACAACACAAAATTTGAAAAATTCTAGACCAGGAGTGTTTGATGTTTATAAAATAAAGTGAAGATATTTTGGCATCTGGTTTAACAGCATTAAGAAAATGTCATCTGTTTGTAAATGAAAGTAGAACCTGCTGCCCAAATTTAAGACTATCATTCCATTTCCTTCTTCAGACTAAAAATAGTCTCAAGACATGAAAAACAGCTGGTTACATACATATGTATCTTAATGATGCTTTAACAGATGTGGATGTCCTGCTTATCTGAAATAGGTCATTGTTTTCAACCTACTTCAAGAATGCACAGAAGCTTCCAAGTAAAGAATTACTGTACGCTACATAGAACTTTTAAAAAATGCACAAGTAAGATGTTCCAGTGTCAGGCTGGCTGAGGTTTAGGGAGGTAGGAAGAGAAATAACAGTGTTGGTTGATAGTCAGGGATATCTGGGGTGATGGAAATGCAAAGCAGATAGAACATGATGGCTCCTAGACTGAATGACTCTGAGAAACATTTTCACTTTCTAGATAAAGTCATCTACAAACTTTCTATTTTCTTGTTAATTCATATACAACTTGCTACAAAGAAACTCTATTTTCACTGATCTCTATGAAAATCGTTTTTCTTGAAGTATACTGGTGGTATCATGATTAAAAAAATTATACATATTGTTGGTTTACCTTAAAAGATACAGAGAAGAAATGATTGATATGGTCATCTACTATACTCCTATACATCAGGTTTCTCTATTAACCACAGCTCTGATTCTGGTTGTTTCCATTCTTCTCCAAGCAGTGTATTAAAACTGAAAGGCTTGAAGTATTCCAGACGATGACTAAACACAAAGAAAAAGAAAGTGGGAACTGAAATGAATTATGCATTTGCAAAATAGTTATCCTGAAGGGCTATTTATTTGTCACATTTGTGACAGAACAACATTATAAAAATACCAAAGGTAAGAGGAATTCTATGTGTAAAACTTTCTCACTCTTGCCATCAAACATTCAGCTCTGAAATTCACCCACATTTCAAAACACTCTCCTCTTAATTCTAGAAAAGCTCCCTCACAGCTGAGGGAAGAACTAAAAATCAACCCTCAAAACCTGACTGATTCTATCTAGCCTTAAACAAATACTATACTCTTAGAGATGTTTTTACATTCAGATTTTGATACACTTTATATGCCATATAGAAAATCATTTTAAAGTTTCAGCTCTGTAACTTAAAGGATAGACTCTTTGCCAAAGCAAGAGAGGTGAATGTAAAAAGGATTTAATCCTACTTATTTTCTTTCTAGGAAAACCATTTAAGTATTGTGGCTTAATGAAGAGACAAAGGCTTAACTAAATGTTACAGTGGGTCTCAGCTGT